TCCCCCAGAAGCTTCAACCTCTCAAGCGTTTCTCCTGACAGGAGAGCAGGGGGAGCCGTCTCCCCGCCCCAGCCTCATCAGGAGTCCACTCTCTACATCTGCAAGCACTGATGGGCCGGATGGGAAGATTATAAAACTCGCGGGGGAGAGGCCAACAAGGTCACAAAGAGTAACTTTGCTGTCTTCAGAGAATGGAGTGGAAAGGGTCTCCTGAAGGGCATTTGACGAGCTCTGCACAACAGGGCCGGAGGAAATTTACCACGCTGCCGGATGTCACTCTGACTGGGACATGTCTGATACCCTTGACAAATGGAGGAACTGTGTCTATGTAGGTATGACAAAGTTAAATCCCCACCCTATGAACCACTTTCTTATACCCCCTCAGCCCCCCACTGCCACCTCCCCTACAAGTCTGCAATAATTCCATGAACTGACCAGACCCCTAACCATCAGTCTACTCTTCCTAACCTGCATGGCAGTGGGTCCCCAGGACAAAAGGCTAGAGATAGTATGGCTTAGAACCCTTCCTATGGAAAAGCTACAAGCACATACCCTGATAGTGTTTTAGAAGCAATATCTTCAAACACGTAAGAACACAGTTCACTGAGACGAAAAGGGAGCTGTAACAATTAGAAAGGCCTTCACCTCAACCACGCCATGCTTTCAATAATCGGACGCGCAATTTACAGCTTAGTTCACCTGCACCTCTTCCCACACAAACTCTGAACTTCGGCATCTCCCAAAGAGTATCAGTTAAGTATTAGGGGGAAAAAAACACTTTCAGTATTTTTTAAAACCCCATACGATTCGGTTTACAAAAAATCCCACCAATATTAAGAAAATGTCTTACAAAGTTTTAGACATACAAATTTAATGTAGGAACATAAGCAATCTGTTAATTTCTGAATTAACTGTATGTGTGAACACACGAAATAAACATTACTTGAGACGCCAGGAAGAAGGAGCTTACTCAACTTGAAAACTTGCATTACAACAACCTGTAATGTTATACATCTTATTCTCAAATATTTGGCCTTCCAAAATATTGGTACCACGTAGAGTGAATTCATTCGTTTACTCAATGCTTAAATGCTGTTGTTGGCAGACTATGATCTTCAGTCCACAAAATGGTTGTCTTTGAATGAACTTGGTTACCCCCTGTTTGAATGGGCACCCTTTGGCTGAAGTTAAATTTTACCCTTTTTACCCACATGATAACAATCACAACTGGTTAAAACAAATTCTAAACAAAATATTTTGTGTTTTTACCTTTTAATCTTTAAAAGGTCAATAAATTGTAAATTTTTGCTTTTTTATTACAAGAATTCTATAAGAGCTATTTTGTAAAAGAAAAATTTTAAATCGACATTATTCAATCAGCAGTATTAGAAATTTTCAGATATTTATACTTGGATAACTAAAAAAAGAAACTAAGCACTGTAAATAAATATCATACTTGAATATTCTGCTGTAAAATACACTCTGTGAATAAGAGCCTTTTCTGAATACCATATAGACTGATACAAATGACATCCTATAGAAGTTAATGTTTATGCTATTAGGAAGGCAAATTTTAACTTATATACTTAGATTTCAACAGAAAGGGAACAAACAATATTTCAAGTAATCAAAGAAATTCATATTTCTTTTTCAAGGTTAGGTGATATTATACCGCTTGACATTTGCAACTGAACTATAAAAATAAGCTTTTGGCAGAAAATCTTAGAGTACTTTAAATTATATCAAAACAGGAATTGCAAACTGCCAAGTGTCTGTCATGAAAACTATACCTATATGCTACTTGAGACATAAGATATGCTCTTATTCATTTCCAAAACACTTAATCTGTGTTTTTTGTGTAATAATCTAAAATTTGGTCATATCAAAGAAAACCTATGAGACTTCTAGGTCTGCTCTTCTGTCTGTATTACTAATATAAATGCATTATGTGAGAACCTATCATTATATGAAGGAGGGAGTGGGGGAGGGAACACTCAATTCTATTACGCGTAAATGTCTTTGTTGAATAAGCTATTCTTTCAAAAAACAGGAGGACGAAGAAGAGAAAGAGATGAGTCCTTACATCAAGCTTCTAAGATTTAGGAATGTTTTAGCTTTAAAGCTTCCTTTTTTTAGTTTGTAGGAATGTTTAATTTTAAGAGGCAAATTATTTTCTTTGAGAAGCCTCTTTTCTGGATATGTATTAGATACACCAAGATTCTTAAGGGGAGGAAATAACCAAGCAACAAAGATGAACACCACCCACACTTGAGCTCTGCGTGAGGATGCTAGGTTTTAAGTCTGAAGAAGTCGGTGCTCACATGGCTCCTGCTTTACCATGGAGCCAAAATCCACAGCTCTGGCACAAACATAAACGCAAAGATCATAGTACTGGGATTCTCCATTCCCTTCTGACTTCTACGTCGACATTAACTGAACCCCTATAGTTCCAGAGCCATCTTCCACGAACTTTTCCTTCATCAAACTTTAGTATGATGATACACTGTGAATCAAATAAAGAGTAAAAGCATAGTAATAGAAGAAATCATTTCGTGAAAAAGGTTAATTGGCTAATTTGATACATACTGTTACCTGACTCAAGTTCTTATTCTAAAATCAGTGCTTAACAATATCTTCCTAGGTTTTAAGTGTCCTAAAATTTAGTGCAGAAAATTTTTAACAAATGAGTATTTTTTCATAAATTTATAAACAGCAACATGATAGAAGTTTTTCTTCTTTTAGAAATTTTAGATTAAATCAGAAACTTTTCTTAAATCCTATTCTATAAATTATTATTCAAAGTCATAAAAATGAAAGCTTTAAATCAACTGTTTTTCTTCACAGCATTATTCAATAGTTTAGCAGAGTACATGATAACATGAATGTCCTATTCTAAAAGTCTAAGTACCAAATGTTGAAGTCCAGGAAGTGTTGAGCCAGATGGTCTTCACAAGACTTAGTTATATAAAGAATCACTATCAAATACACACAAAGTGCTTTTAAATGTCTTTTTTAAAAATGTTCAGAACCAGTACAATGATTTTTGCATAATTTTGGGGTTCAGGGGTTTATGAGACAACATTCAAAGAAATTTCAAATGGCATTTCAATTCTTTGAGAAAAAAGAAGCTAGCTATTTAATTTTCATAGCAATATATTATCTCTCTGAAGAAGGCCATAGTTACCCCACACTAGTGATTTAATTCGGATAATTTTGACCAGATTTATTTTTATTTAAAAATAATAAATATCTATAAATGAGAACAAACAATACATCTCTTAGTGAATCAAAATCTAGTAAAAAAAAAATAAGAGAGAAAAGGAAAAAAGGAAGAAAAGGGTGAAAGAAGTAAAATCAGTAAACATTTCTAAATGGTATTCAGAAGGCAGAAAAATAAATACTAAAATATCCAAATGAGGACACTTCAGTAAAGAAAAATCCTGGAATAAATATTTCTCAGATTCAAATACTGAAGTATTAACATAGAAAAGAAATTATGCAAATTAACAGACAAAAAGCCTCCATTACAATTAATGCTTCTACACACCCCTCACTCCCCCTCCCCCTCATTTGCACACATTTATACTGAAACCAGTTTGGGGAGAGCTATTAAAAAGACAATCTATCCATTTTGAATAGTTCTTTAAAGAAACATATATATATATATCAAAACTTTTAAATAAATGAAAATTCATAATTACATCAAATTATACATTTCTTAGTTGCCTAAGACTCAAACGAATTTGCGTATGGGTTCAAATTCAAGTGGAGTCACATTTATTTCACTTTCAAGTTACACACATTTTATCCCACACGCACCAAATATATTAGAAATGTGCAGGCCCCACATTTAAAAATCCCTCAAAGAGCAAGTCAGGTGGACGCCTCAAAGTTCCTTTCAGTGGGATGAGCTGCCAGTGAGACCTGATCACACGCAAAAGCAGTGCAGCATTCCGGTTACACTTGAAGCTTTCTGATGTCACGACACAGGTGGCATCCTGCGACAAGTGTTTTTTCCTTCTGCCCAGACTGAGTGGAGCAAGAACAGGCAGGCTGTGGATCAGCGCTCCACGTGAGGCATCTGCTTGCTCGGGAGATTTATACCCGACTGTAGTCTGGCCCCCTTATAATGTAATTCCTGGGCTATAAGCTTCTACAAACTGACAGAAAAAACAGGAGATGTGAAAAATGCAGCAATACTAAAACCAGATGTTGGTGTAAAATTCCAGGACCATTTATTTGCTCATTTCGCCTTTCAACATACGATTTCTATGCTGAAAACAAAGGGCTTTTTTTTTCTCTTAAAAATACCTAGAACCATGAAACATTTAGAGGAGACGAAGTAGGAAATTTATGAGATGGGGACTTGAGAGAGGTAGGAGGTGGGAAGAAAAGAAAAGCTGAGAGAAGGGTAGGTCGCAAAAAAAAAAAAGGCACCTAAATCCACACTACCTTTTTCAGTAACCCTACATCATCCTATTTCTGACTCATTTTCTTTTAATCTAGTCTGGTAGTAACTCCAAACAGACAGGTTAAAGGTCAGAGTTACTATGATTTCTGGATAAGAAAGGAAGCAAGAAGAATAAGAACAATTGTTCTTAGGCACAATTACTTTTGTGCCTAAGAAAGTGGTGAATTTTTCCCCCCTAATCTTTACCAAGAAATACCTTACCCAAACCTCCTGGTTTTGGAGAAATAAAAGAGTTGCATTTTAGGTTACATTTATAAAATACCTAAATTCAGAAATCAGAGTGGTAATTAGTTATCTTCTTAAAGAAGGAGTCATGGGTTTATTACAAACAACCCCAACACTACTTTGTTCAAAAGATTCACAGTAATATTCCTACTATGAATTTCTTATTTGTTTGGTTCCTGTGAAATAATGATCCAAAAGCTATCACAAGGTAACATGGACTCTCATTCTACCACAAACACCTGCTTAAATAGGCAAAAATAAACGGCAAGATTTGGTTACTCTGCACTCCTATTAACAAACTTACATGATTTCCTGTTGGAAACTTTCAGGGGCCGAACCAATATTTCTGGTCGTCTCAGAGCCAATCTCCTGGGGGAAAAGAAGGTCAATATGACCGTCAATTTTCAGTATGGTCCAAGATTAACATAACACCAAAACATTAAACGTCTTAAGAAAAAAATGGAAAGTTAGGGGGGAAAATGAACACAACGCAATCTATTCAAATTAAGAAAGAAATCCTCTACTTTCAAATTTTTATAAATTATCCCCCCTTCAAAATCACTCTCCTTTTTTTTCCATCTTTCACATCAACACAGCTTCAGATATTAATGTGTTATTTTCCATTTGCTTCATAACAAAAACCAAATATGACCTGGGACTGTCATATTATTTTTGGTCATTATTCATACTTACTTAGACAAAACAGAAATCCAAACCTGGGGGATAAAGGATTCTAAGGCAAGGTTTTAGTTCTCATTTTATCACAGCTATGCTGGAATGATATTTTGCAGAGAACAAAAGGTCAGCTGAAGAAAGGCCATTATGATGTGCTAGTAGCTCACCTTTCCTGGAAGTGCTTTGAAGGAATCAAGCCTGCTCTGGGATTGGCATCACCTTCATGCTTCGCTTGCCACCATGTTGCATCATCTTGGCTCATAATCTGAAGAATATCTCCCTTTTTGAAAGAAAGCCCAGCTTCCTTACATGGAATGGCTTTATCCTCATTAGGGTCATAGTCAAAGAGGGCTTTGATAAACATCTGGAAGAAAGTTTCATTTAAAATGAATAAATATAAAAAAATAAATGGGAAATGGCCAACATTCTTCTAAGTCTGATTTAAGAATAATTTTTAAAAAAAGAATATTAAAATAAACTTGCTGTGACAAAGAGGATATGTATTAGACAGAAAAACATTAGCTCCCCCCACAAAAAAGGTTTTTAATTAAGGATTACCTTGCCTTCTTTAGCTGGTGTCTCCTCTTTGATGCTGGGTATAATCTTAAATGTAATTGCTCCCTGGGACTGAGCCTGATATCAGAGGAAACAAAGAGTTAGAAGAAAACTCCTAGAGCCAAGGAGAGAGAAGGAAAATAGGTAAAAAACTAAACGATTCTGAAAGTTTACAAGCTGGGGGTTTCTACTCTTCGATAGACTAAACCAAGGAAACTATTTTTGTAGAAATTCCTGTAATGTGAGAAAGCACTAAAGTTTGTCAAATAAGTTAAAAAACATTAACCAGTAAATCCACTTTTACCTCCTGTGCACTTCGAAAATGCTGATGAATGTATTACCATCCATGTTGAGTTACTTCAAAATAGAAACACAAAATATACACAGTGCCTTATATAGACAATATTAAATGGCTAGAACAGATAACATGCAAAGTTCAGACTATTACATTTAAGTATCAGCATCCATGTTTTTAGGGACAAAATACCTATACTACCAGTAACATAGTTATAAATATATGATTCAATTAGTTGCAATGCTTATCAGAAAAAACAATGAAGAACATTCATCTCTATTATATGCTTGTCAGTGAGTAAAATACCAAATGTAATAGATTAATTAAAAGATGAAAAGATTGAGTATCCATTCTAATTTAATTAAAACAAGCAACAACAATACCCACAATTCTTTGCTATCTCGGACAAGAGTAAGCCTCCCTTTAACAAACACTCATGTCATCTCTTTTTTTAGCATTTATCATAACCACATCTAAATAATTACTTATACAATTATTTCTTAATATGTTACCTCTGCCAAATTACAATATATAAGCTCCACGAAAGCACTAAATATCTGGCACATATTTAAGAGGAAGGTGAGAAGGAAGAAAGGAGGAAGATAGGGAGACAGGCAGATAGGGAGAGACAGAGGCAGGGAAGAAAGGAGAGAAAGAGAGGAGAATGGGGAGGTCTCTCTGAGGCTCACTATCAGGGGTGTGCCTGTAAACCAGGACTCTGGTTTGTAAAAAAGGCCCTGATTTGTATTGTTTGCCAATTTCCATGGTATAAATACTCCCATCACAGCCAATTTCAATTTGCCAGTATGAAGTCACTGAAAGCTAAGTTGGGAAGAACTGCATAGAATCAGCTCTCAAAAGCATAAGGAGGCAGCTCCAGTGTAGCAAAGAGACTCAGGTAACTCACAACTCTTACTAAGAGTTCACGTAATACTGAATTGCATAGGTAGAGAAAAGGCAAAAGTCTTCTCTATAATCCCTTCCCATTATTCTAGTTTGTGTATGCCGTGTGTGTGTGTTTTAATGTCTGTAAAGCCCTTAGAACAGCATCATTAAAGGTTCTGTAAGCAATTTTTAGTATAGTCACACCACATAAAGACATTTAGGTCGATGACAGACTGCATATATGACAGTGGTCCCATTAGATTAGTACTGTCTGGCCTAGGTGTGTAGCAGGCTATACCATCTGTTTGTGTAAGTACACTCTATGATGTTCAACTAATGACACATTTCTCAGAATGTATCCTGTTGTTAAGCGATACACGACTTTATTACTATTCTTATTAAGTCATATAGGTCTAACAGCCATTGTGATCGCCTCACAGCAATCCATCATGTGGATAAATGATTATTCAATCAATGCAACCTTCTTGATAGTTTTTAAATATTTTTAAAATAGCTTGCTTATAAACATTTGCCATTATTTTCCTTAGGGTTCATTTCCAACAATTGAATTTCTTGATTAAGAGGTATACAAATTTACAATTTTGATAGTTTCAGATAGCCATCTCAAAAAGTTCTATTAATTTATCCTACTACCCAAACCATATAAACATATCTATTTCCCTGCAATCTGGCTAAATCTAGGCATTATCAAGCTTTTAAATCCCTCAAAATCCAATATTTTCCAGACATCATGTTTTCTTTTGTGAGTTGCCTGTGCATAAGCTTTGCTAATTTTCCTGCAGAAGTTTTTTTCTTACTGATTTTTATGAACTCTCTACACATTAAAATATTAGCCTTCTAACACATATATTGAAAATATTTTTCCTACAATCTCATTTGTCTTATAAGTTTTATGTAGGGCATCTTTGTTTGTACAGAAAGTTTCAATTCTAGTAGTCACATCAGTTATTTTTCTATGTGAATTTTACATCAAAGTTAAAGTCTTTTTCTACTTTTTGTTATTTTTTAAACTTAAATATTTAATTGGTTGGGATTTATTTTTGTGTGTAGTATAAAACAGGAACTGACTTTTTTCTAACTGAATCATCAATTACTCCAATACCATTTATGAAATGATTTGTTTTCCCACTGATTTAAAATGCCATTTTAATCGAATACAAATTTCCATATATCCTGAGATGTGTTTTGAGATACTAAACTCCCTTTTTATGTCTGTAGGTTTATAGTATGTTTTCATATGTAACAGGGACAGTCTCCCTTCAATTTATCCTTACAAACGAACTTAAGAATTAACATTGTCAAGGCCTAAAATAATTTCATTCCATTTTAGATTTCATAAGACATCTAAATTAGTGTGACTATTTTATACACCTAGAAAGCACAGCTTATAGTCTGGCTATGTCATTGGAAGAAGGGGAAAAATAAACACATCACCAACAACAGAGTAGATGCCATCTACTAGGTACCCAAATTAGGACAGGCCCCATCATAAACTCTTTACATACATCAGCTCACTTAATCCTCAAAACACTCCAGTGAGATATTTACCTCTTCTATTCTCACTCTGTAAATGAAAACACTGAGGCAATAAAAAGATTAAAGTATTTTCCAAGGACACACAGGGACAGCAATGGAGCTGGGATTTGAACTCTGGACCGCTAAATCCAAATCCTGTATTCATCAGCAAGTCTAAAATATAGTGAGTCAATATCACTTTCATTGCAACTTTAAAATAAATTTTCAGCTTACCAAAATCTGAATTACTTCCTCGGGCCTTTTATCCTCAACTGGTATCCCATTCACTTCCCTAAGTTCATCACCAACATGAATAAGACCTGAGAAATAGCAAATTTGGTAAATTAGCAGTGTTACCTACAAAAGAAACTAATTTGCAATTGTTTCCACACTGAAAGCATTGTTAGGTTCCCTTAACACATTTGAGGATTGTAAGCGAGACCTTCCCACTTCTCAGGTTTCAGATTCTGTGCCTCTCTAGCAACGAAGCAAAGACTACAACATAATGATGCTGGCAAAGAAATGACAACAGCGTCTTGGTCTTTGCCTAGAAATGCACATTATTTTCATCTTATATAAGAAGTTTAATTTTTTAAAAAAGTTGCATGCTTTTAGTAGTATTTTTCAAATCAGAAACACTGAAACAAGACTGAATATAACTTTGGAAGCCCATGTAAACTAAGACCACACAGTAGAGTGAGATTTCTGTCTCATTTAGTTAAATAGGTTCCCACATCTCAAAACAGGAACAAATATCTTATTACATGTTTTGCTGTATTATATCAAAAGACTGTTATCCTCTTATTACATATTGGAAATGTGACACGTAAAAGGCAACATGACTTTGTCTATATCCACTTAACATTTACTCTTACCACTTCTGTCCGCAGCTCCTCCTCTCATGATTCTAGCCACAACGATGGCCCCTGTCTGCTCATCTTTCTTAATGGTAGCTCCCTTTTAAGAAAAACAAAAGTATTTGTGGTAGACATCTGTATTGGGTGGTAGGAAAGGGGAGGCAGAAATAAGGACACTCATCTGGAAAAAGTGAAAACAAGAACTACAAAAAATTAAAGGCATGAGTCAGGAGGAACAGACATCATGTCATTTGCTTTACAAATACTCATTACTAGGTACAGAATTTTCTACCATATAGATCATCTAAGGTTTCAGCACAATTTAAAGGTTTTTGAAATTTTTAATCTCTTCAAAACTATGGAAAGTACAAATATCTTTTTTCCATTATAATAACTTGTATTTGAATATTATTTGTTTTCATCCTTTTACAGCATTTCCTCATTTCATTTTTTTTTGTGTGTGTCAGGAATATCAGCCCTGAGCTAACATCCGTGCTAATCCTCCTCTTTTTGCTGAGGAAGACCGGCTCTGAGCTAACAACTATTGCCAATCCTCCTACTTTTTCTCCCCAAAGCCCCCGTAGATAGTTGTATGTCATAGTTGCACATCCTTCTAGTTGCTGTATGTGGGACGTGGCCTCAGCATGGCCGGAGAAGCAGTGCGTCCGTGCGCGCCCGAGATCTGAACCGGGCCGCCAGTAGCGGAGCGCACGCACTTAACCGCTAAGCCACGGGGCCGGCCCTTCCTTTTCATTTTATCTTCATAATACCCCACAAGGAAGGCAGACTATATAGAGTAGGTTAAGTTAACAGAAAAAGATTATATAAATTAGAAAACTAAAACTCAGGTCATCTGACTTTAATTCAGTGATCCTTCTAGTACACTATTGCAGTAAAGGAACTCAGTGATAATCATAAAGAAAGAAAAAAATCAGAACTCCAAAATTAGTTATATATCTTATCCAAGGCTAAGATAAACTAATGGAAGAAAGATCTGTTATTCCAAGGTTTTTATGTAGTAGGATTGTACCTAGTACAAACAGAACTAACATTTTGGCATAAAATTAGGAAACAATTTCAAAAAGAATCCAGAAATTCTTCATTTATGGATGTTCAGAAGCAAAGTAGATGAATGCTGCTTTGTAAGAACATCAAGCACAAATGGTTACTTTGAAAGCCTTCTCATGACTTTGCTTCCAAGACTGGCATTGGTTGAGAAAAGCCATCCCCGCATTGCATCACATGGCTAAAAAGATGCACACATTAGATGATGGCAGAATTCACCCCAAAGAAGAAAGTGGAATTTTTCTCAAGTTTGTTAATAAATACGTTTATATCATTCAAAAATAGATATGTAAACAAAATTAGGAATCCATTTTTACTAAGTATATTTTATATATGACAGTTATCAGATACATATCTAATAATAGTAGAAAAATCAAATAATTGATAGGATGGTTTTGCAGCATTTTCATCACCTCTGCATGTATTCAAGGCCAAAGACTTGAATGAGCATCTCTCCATGGTCATAAAAGCCTTAGACCTACCAACTACTGGTATTTCTTGCTTTTATTTAAAGTTAACTTGTAGTCAAGATGAATGGAAATGAATGTTCTTAACAAACTAATTAGTGTGATTAGATCAACTTTCATTTTCCTTGAAAGTGTGTCTCACATTTTCCCATGAAAGTATACCTAAAGGCAGAAGCGTCTAGTAATCTAAGATTACTTATCTATTTTATAGATGAGAAACTGAATCCCAAACAGTTACAATTTGTCTAAGATCAGACAACTAGTGTGTAGTAAAGTGAGGACTTGTCTAAGGCAAACAGATCAGAAGCGCTGTTCTTAATCTTAATTATCATTCAATACTGCTCATCCTATATCTTTCTACAACCTTTTATCTGTCAGTTTATAAGTTCGTTACCCTTGCGGTAATTTGTCTCCACGAGGGAGATCATCAATTCCTTCCCTCTTCGTATGTGCGAGCCAGATTCCCACATCAAGTGGTGAAAATGGTTCTGAGGCATTTAAGGCTATGAGATGACTTGCAACTGCCACCTGGGCCTCTGGAAACACCTGCTCTATGGGAAGTCAGCCACCATCTAAGAAATCACGACTACTGCCATGCTGTGAGGAAGCCCAAGCTAGCCAAGTGGAGATGCCACTTGGAAAAAGAGATCAGCTTCCAACTTTCCAGCTATCCAAGCCCAGACATCAGTCATGGGAATGAAGGAGCCCTCAGATGACTCCAGCCTCAGCCACCATCTAACTGTACAGATGAGAGATTCTAAGTAAGAACCACCCAACTGAGCCTATCATGCTCCAAAACCATTAGAGATAATAATATATTATTGTTTTAGCCACAACATTTGGGGATGGTTTAAAACACAGAATTAGGTAACTGGAACAAATCTCTTTCTCCATTATGGATTGTAATGTTTTTCAGAACAGGACCATCCAGTTTGTTGTGCTTAATGCTAGTCCCTTTGACTTACTCTGTGATTCAATGAAGTTGAAAAATGTTCACTAGGGGCCTAGTTCTGTTCTAAGGGCTTGTAATACATTGGTGAGAAAAAAAACCAAACATTTCTGCCCCCTCACAGAGCTTACATTCTAACAGGGGAGACAGACAGTAAACAAAAGATGAAGTAATTAGACGTATTACATAGTATGTTAGAAAGTGGTAAACACTATGGGGATGGGAGGAGGTAGGGCAGGGTAAGAAAGATTAGGAGTGCCAGGGCAGGTAGAGGGAAGACAATGAAGACACAGGCCTTATCGAGAAGATGACATCTGCATAAAGAAAGACTGGGAGGAGGTGAAGGAGTTAGTTGAAGAGAAAGAATAGAAGAAACAGCCAGTGTAAAGGTGCTGAGGTGGGGCTGTGAATGGAGCGATCAAGAGACAGCAGAGAAGCCAGTGTGGCTGGAGGAAAGTAAACGGGGAGAAGCACGAGGAGGTGAGGTCAGATGGTAACAGAGCCAGAGCATACAGAGCTTTGTAGGTCACCATGGGGACTCTGGATTTTATTCTGAAAGAAACAGGGAGAACCTAAACAGCGGGAGTGACATAATCTAAAAGATTACTCCACTTACTGTGTTAAGAAAAGAGTGAAGGAAGGCAGGAGCTAAAGCAAGGAAACAAGTAGGAGGCTGTTACAGCAATCTAGGGGAAAGAGGGTGGGGGCTTGGATCTGATGGGCAGGAGGAGATAAAAAGCGGTCTGGATATGCTACTGTCAGAGCCAAAAGGATTTCCCAGTGGATTGGAAATGGGATGTGAAAGAGAGAGAGGTATCCAAGATTAACCCTATGGTTTTTGGCTGAGCAACTGGAAAGATAGGATTATCATCAACTGAGAGGGGGAACCCAGTGGGTGGAACAGACTTGGGGACAACGATTAGTTTTCTTTTGGACATATGAAGACTGAGATGTCTATTAGACATCTAAATGGACATATCAAGTAGATAGATGACATACAAATTTAAAGATCAGAAGGAAGATCCGGAAGAGAAGTAGACCTGAGAGTCACTGGCACATAGATGTTTTCTAAAGGTATGGGCTGGATGAAATGACTTTCAGAATGTGTAGATAAAGAATAGCACTCCAACACTTAAGGGTTATTCTGTTATAGACATAGTATAGATACCCTGAAATAGAATATGCTTGCTATCTCTGAGTCTACCTACCCTTGGAGGGTAAACTTTGGACCTGAGAATCAATCCTCTTTTTGATCTCTTTATTCTTGAAGATCTCTATTTCCCTATTGCTTTCCCAGCCCCTATTATCACAGTTCCCTGATGTATTCCTAATGCAATATACTTGCATGAAATCAAGATCAAAACTCAATAAAATAGAGCACATTACATGTGATACTGTACAAAAGTCGACAGTCCTATGACATAGTCTGCAAATGCAAAATGAATTAAAACTGAATCTAATGTTTTAATACTTCCGTATTTTCTTATATAACGATTTTGAATTTATTCTATGTGATTTTGACAAAAAAGGGTATAGAGAACTTCAGGTTAGACTGCAAAGTTAAAATTCTGGTTAGATTTTTCTTGTTACTTCTATAAAATGGTTTATAAAAAAGGACTGCTAAGGGCCGGCCCCGTGGCTTAGCGGTTAAGTGCGCGCGCTCCGCTACTGGCGGCCCGGGTTCGGATCCCGGGCGCGCACCGACGCACCGCTTCTCCGGCCATGCTGAGGCCGCATCCCACATACAGCAACTAGAAGGATGTGCAACTATGACGTACAACTATCTACTGGGGCTTTGGGGGGTAAAAAAAAAAAGGAGGAGGATTGGCAATAGATGTTAGCTCAGAGCCGGCCTTCCTCAGCAAAAAGAGGAGGCTTGGCATGGATGTTAGCTCAGGGCTGATCTTCCTCACAAAAAAAAAAAAAGGACTGCTCAGACTGAGCTGTCACATCTTGAATAAAACTTGTATCTCCTACAACACTACTGTAAGACCTTCTTAAGCAGGTAGCACAGTTGATTTCAGGTTTAGCCTTTGCAACAAGTGTTTTCAAAGTATGGTCTACCAAACATTTTCACTGAGAACATGAGACATTTTTTAAAAATGTAGATTCCCGGGTCCCACCCAAAACTTACTGATGTAGACTCTTTCGGGCTGAAACCCAGAAGTGTGCATTTTAAGTAAGCACCTCAGGTAATTCTCGGAATACCAAAGTTTGAGAGCCACAGATCTAAAAGAACTGAGAGGACAACTCATGCAAGAAACACTGAAGATTTAGGATCATAATCCACTCACTAACAGAATTTCATTTTCTTAACCTTGTCTAAAAATTAATCTCCTGGATAAAACAAATATAAATTGCTCCAAACTCAGAAGGGAGGAGGGACAGCTCTGCTCCGCGCATCCTGACCATGGCTTTTCTCTCCTCTCAATTCTTTTATCCATCCCGCCGCTTCTACTATCACCCTTTTCCTTTCCATTGCCAAACACCTCCATGATCTGTGTTCACTGCCTCTTCTCCCAGGAAACCACTCTCTCCTTAAACAGCTGTTATCTAGCTGCACCTTATCATTCTATGGAATATTTATATAATGCTTGCATAATGCATAAGGACTTATATAGCACTTCAGATACAGTCCATCTCAACTGATATTCAAAACACTCTGAAAGAGGCAGATCTCCTGACTTTCTGATAAGGAACCTGAGGCTGAGATGTTAAGTGACTCGCTGCTGTAAGGATATAGAGCAAATGAGTGACATCATCATAACTCCCACCAAGGTCATCTAATGCAAGGTTGGTATTCATTTCACCACTTTATACCTAGGTCTAACAAAATTACATTCTTAACACTCATAACCCCTTAGTTACTAAATCTTACGACGTTTTTTCTTGAATCATTTGCCAAACATCTCCTGACCATCGACTCCCTAGAATTTTATTTCTGCTTGGCTTCCCTCACCTTGTCTATTTCTGATTCTTACCACTTGGACTCATTCTCCTAAGGAGGCCTCTGACTCTTAATCTTCTCCTGGTTTTTCCTTCTTCTGCTTTTTTTTTTTTCCTTTGGCAGTTTTGTGGCTTCAATAACTTCCCCACACTGACAACTGACATTTGACAAGTGTAAAATGACAAGTTCGTTGAAAATAAATATTTTCTACTTTTTCTAGGCAGTATATTTTTTAAACGTTTAATTTATTCACCCAATAATCATTCTTTACCTCTACAATAGCCAGCCCTGGTGGTCTAGTGGTTAAGATCTGGTGCTCTCACTGCCTCGGCCCAGGCTCGTGTCCCAGTCAGGGAGCCAGACCACCTGTCTGTCAGTTGTCACACTGTGGCGGCTGCGTGTTGCTGGGATGCTGAAAGCTATGCCACCAGTATTTCAAATACCAGCAGGTCACCCACGGTAGACAGGTGTCAGCAGAGCTTCCAGACTAGACAGACTAGGAAGAAGCACCTGGCCACCCACTTCTGAAAAAATTGGCCATGAAAACCCTGTGAAGAGCAGCGGAACCTTGTCTGATAGAGCGCCAGAAGGGGAGAGGACAGTGCAGAGAGACCTCCCAGGGTTCCTTCTCCTGTACACAGGGCGCTAGGAGTCAGAATCCACTCGATGGCACTAACAACAAAACCTTACAATAACTGTCAAACTAAAGATAATGCACTAGGTTATACATTTGGATTACAAAAAGTTCAAGACAAGTACTTCTCCTCATTTAATTTCACATTCCAATGTTAAAACGACATTTAAAATCTTAACACTTTTTTTAGAAATCCCAACAAATAATTCTGGGAATTTCTTCATCCCAATTAGAAGTTCTGTTTTCTGTACGAAGTTTTTATTTAATTTTTTAAAATACAGCTTCCTAAACAGAAAACATACAATCAAATTGTGGTTCACTAGGAAGAAGACAAAGCATTACTGACTAAAATAATTTTTTACAAGAAAGTACTCAAAATTACTTTAAATTGCATTAAATATAGAAAACTAAACCTCAAGTTTAAAGAAGTTATCTGCATATGTTTGGGGAAAAAAAGCTTTTAATTTACTTTTAAATAATTAACTGAGAATCAGAGAGAAAAAATTTAAAAACTCATGTAAAAATGGACAAATAAACAGAATGGGAATTATGGATAAAATAAAACGGAATTAAAATTTTTCAACACTCCAAATTTAGAGGGAAGTCGAGAAGAAAATATTAAGTTGCCAAATTATACCGTGATACATTAATAAGAAACTGAACAATTCTGAGATATGCTTAAAATATCCCCTTAATAAACAAATATTACAAATCTGGAAAACATCCTCATGCTTAAGAGAAATATTCCCTTTTTAAACAACTTAGCAATCTGATCAATTTTTAAAGAAATTTACCTAGTTCCTTGTCCTGAATTTTTAAACCTCCTCCTAGCACCTGTATAGCCTTACAGGCTCAGTACAACCATAAGGAAATTAGTCATTTTTACCCCATGCATTTCCTTCTATTCTTGCTGAATGAATGTACATCTAGCCACCTAAGTAAGAACCTCCTGTGGTATTTTTGACTTCCTCTCTCCTCCTGCCCTTTATATCCAAAGATTTGCCTGGTCCTATCAAATCTAATATATGGGGCTCTTGCCATTATCCTAGTTCAGATTCTCATTTTAAATATACTGTATTATATAAACTATAACAAAAGAGAGCTAATAGATGAAGAATTACCACCTCAATGTTAGGTCTAATTATTTCAGTTGTTACATGCTTATTAGCTAAATAATATAGTAACAAATAGTAATAAACTATGATAACACCACTTTATTTTATATACTTCATTCAATTTCTTTTTAAATTTAAACTAATTTACAGTAGGTCCAGCTAAAACTTTTGAGAAATCTTGATGCAGTACATGCCTAATTTCTTTGATAAACATGTTGAAGATCTTATTTGATTAGGAGGGATGGGACCTAAATGTTGCTGATGACTGTTTAAATGTTAGCTCGCCAAACCAACACACCAAAAACTACTGCTCCTGGGAAAACCATGACTGATCAAAGAAATTATTAATGAATTACTGACCTCCTCAAGACAGTCTATCAATTACCTCCCTAAGAGGCCGAATTCATCAAAACAAAAACATATTTCTCATTGACAGATACAGAGAATCCACCAAGAATTAGTCACTTTATGGTGACAGGCCCCTGGGATAGCTCTTTCTACACCTACCATGACTATCGTCTATTCTTACCAAGTATATCACCTCCATAACAAAAATTAAGAGCTATTCAGGTTACCAGTATAGAGCTATAACCACAGATGAAAAGCATGAATTTTTAATCTAAATTAAACAACATTAATCAGGAATACAGGGAGCCCTAGGATGTCCGTGGCTGAGCTTCATGCTCAATAACCCTCCTTACGTAACATGCAAACTTATCTGTATGTTTTTATGCATGAGAATGTCCAATGCATTTATCAATATACCAAAGTTGCCCTTAAACAAAACAAGAAGATAAAAATCACCAAAAAGGGAAAAATATAAAGACACAATATGGTGTAGAAGAAAAAACTAGTATTTGAAGCCAAAGAGCCAAGTTTGGATCATTGTTCTAGACTCATTAGCTGTGATACTTTGGACAAGCTGCTTCACATCTTTCAATTTCAGTTTCCTAGTCTGTAAAAATAGAATAATGATACGAACTATGGGACTTAAATATGATGTATGTAAAGTATCTAACAACATACCCAGCAACTACTGTATTAGCAACTGCTATTTGCTTTAAGAACACAACAATGCCTTAATTAGAATAAGTGGGGCACAACACATTTAAAATCAACTGCCAGATTATGAAATTTATTTTTCTTTTGAATGTAGTTTCATAAAAATATGGATATACTTTATATTTATTTCCTATTGCTGCTATAACAAATGACCACAAATCTGGTGGCTTAAAACAACACAAACTTATTGTCCCACAGCTCTCGAGGTAGGAAGGTCAAAATGGGTATTACGCTGCTGAAATCAAGGTGTCAGCAGGGCTGTATTCCTTGTGGAGGATCTAGGAGAGAATCCAGTCCTTGCCTTTTCCATTTTCTAGAAGCTTCTGGCATTCCTTGGCTCATAGCCCCATCACTCCAACCTCTGCTTCCATCATCACATCTCCTTGTGTGCCTCTGACCCTCCTGTCTCCTTCTTTCACTTTAATAAGAACTCTTGTGATTATACTGGGCCCACTGGATAATCCAGAATAATCTCCCCATCTCAAGATCCTTAGCTAATCATGAAAAGTCCCTTTTGCCATGTAAGGTAATATATGCACAGGTTATGAAGAGTAGGACGTGACCTCATTGGGGGTGAGGAGCATTATTCTGCCTACCACAGACACCTTGACATAATTCAACATGGTGTAAACTCTGGTGCTAAAATAAATGCCTATATTTATATGTTGAAATACCAGATACTTGCATAATTTCTCATTACTTTAAAATAAATCAGCTTTCTAGAAAAGCCATAAGCAATTATTTTTAGTTGCACCATTTAATCTCAAATCAACTATGACTGGTGCATGTTATGTTTTCTTTTACAAATGTCAACAAATCACATTTTAAAAATTATTGCTATTTACAACCAAGAGAATGCCTGTCATTTTATTTGACTTCATTTTTCTAAATCATATTCTTTAAACATGAATGCATTTATTTTAAAGTTTGAGCACACAGAGGAAGTAAAAGAGGAATAAATAGTATGTCCTCATCAGATTTGGTTTTATCGTGATATCTACTCAGATCTGAGCACAAAATGTAAACCAAAACTCACCAGTGGTTCTCTATTTTTGACCAGACGGATGATTTTTACTGAGTCTTCCTCATCATCAATATCATCAGGCATAGGAGGCAATACAGGATCATAATTCTTCTGAGCCACAGTATCATGTACAGAGAGCAAAGCCTATCAAAGTCAAAGGTTGGTAAAAAATATTAATCAAAAATAAAAGCCTTAACACTACAAACTAAAAGAAAATCAAATTGGTGCTTTAATTTTGACATAAGAATGGTAGTAAGGCTCCTACGTGAAAAGGAGCCTCTTACAAACAGGGACTCTGTAGAACAGCAGGAGGCAGCTCCACTCAGCTGCCACCTCCACCCCCACGCCCTTAACGCACGACAAGAATCAGCATAAACTGTCCTCTAACCTGTATACTCGCTGGTTCATCCTCATAAAGGTGGTAGTTGGGTGGGGGGTTACTGTTGAAAGGAGGCAGAAAATGAGGCCTGGTCAACAAGCCAGGGGGAGTCTGAAAAACTATATATTTTTTCTTTCTTACTGTTAGCACAAAACACAAAAAGAACTGATCAATATGACTAACTAGCTTTCATTCTTCTGTTTTCTCACTTTTTCACTTTTTGTGTAATAGGTGATTCATATGTGTATACAAGAAAAAAATAAAATTATTTCTAGTCATGACTGTTATAGTGGTTAAACTCCACAAAACATTATCATACTGTCATTACAGACCAAAGATGAGAATAACAGTGGAACCTTGACATGTCACTACTCACTATTTTAGGTGAGTGGACTTTTAACTAACTTTTAACTAACTTCTTCCCTAATCAGCAACACCATGATCCATAAATTACTCCAGCCAGAAGCTAGAAATCATCCTTGAAATCTCTGCTCTCACCTACACTTCCAATCCACTCCATATCCTGTTAAATCTACTTCCAAAATGTATGCTAACATGTTACCTTCTCTCCAGTCCAGATCGGAGGTTGGCAAACCACGCCACCTGTTGGAACACAGCTATGCTCCCTCATTTGTGTATTGTCTATGGCTGCTGTCATGCTACAATGGTAAAACTGAGAAGCAATAGTTACTTTTTACATTAAAAGCTGGCAGACCCCTGTTCTGCATCATTGATGCCATCATTTTTTACCTGGAGCATTGCAATAGCCTCTAAATGCTCCAACTACATTCACCTCTGGCTCATTTTCATATCCATGATTCACAGTGTAGCCAGAGTGATTATTCTAAAAATTAGATTAAATCACATAACTGTCCTGTTAATAACACTTCTAATGCTACCCACTGATCTTGGGATGAAGATCAAACTCTTGAGCACGTCCTAGTCTTGCGTTCCTCTCCAACCTTATCTTATCCACTATCCTCCTCACTCACTTACAGAACTCTTTCTCACAGATGCCTGGCCAAAATATCCAATATAAAAGTAGATCCCTCGGTTACTTGATCTCACAGAACCTTCTTCTTTGCCTTCATACATGTTCACAATTTACAACCATTTTCATGTGCATATGTTTAATATTTGCTAATAACTGAAACAGAAGCTCTAAGATGGCAAAGAAATGGTGTCTATTTTTTAATTAAGCTTTTAAATTGAGTATAACATATATACAGAAAAGCACACAATTCAAAAGTATACAGCAGGATGAATTTTCAAAAATGAATATGCTGTGTTAACATTCCCAAACAAGAAATACATTAACTGAACCCCAAAAGCTCCCACTGCTCATTCCTAGTCCTCATGCCCTCTATTCCCCAGAAGGTGGTAGTTTTGCTTCTATTTAAATACTGTATAACAGAATTATAAGTGCATATTTATTTTTTCCCTGATATTAAGTTAGTGAGATTCACCCACGCTGTTACTGGTAGCAGCAGTCACTCATTTTTCATTGTGATGCAGCATTCCAACATATGACTGTTTCACAGCTTCTTTACTCATTATACATTTGAGGGACATTTAAGGTGTTTTCAATTCTTGGCTGAACTAAATAATGCTGCCATAAATATTTCATACATATATATATACACACACACATATATATACATATATATACAATTTAAGTATATTTAAGAGTGGAATGTCTGAGTCATGGGTTATAAGCATATCCAACATTAGTAGATAGAGATAAATAGTTTTTCAAAGTGGTTGTCCCAATTATACTCCCACTAACAGCTTATGTGAGTTCTAGTTGCATCACATGATCCCTAACATTTTACATTATTAGTTTAAATTTGGCCATTCTGAGTATGCAGTGTTATCTTTTTGTGGTTGAAATTTCATTTTTCTTACAGCTAATGATATTGAAAACCTTTGCTTATGTTTACTGGGCATTAGTATACCTTCTTTTGTGAGATGCCTGTTAAAGATTCTTGCACATTTTTTATTCCATCTTTTTCTTATTGATTTGTAAGAATTATCACATACTAGATCCAAGCCTTTGTTGGTTACACATGCTACAAATATATTTGCCCTTTGGTAACCTGCCCTTTCAGTTTCTTACTAATGTTTTTGATCAACAAAAGATCCTAATTTTAATGACCCCAATTAATGTTGTTTCCTTTACGGTTGGTGCTTTCTGTATCCAACAAGAGTTTCAAGGGAAAGAATGAACAGCATCAAGGTGATAAAATATCGGAAGAGATAATGGCTGCAAATTTTTGAGGATTGATGAGAGACAGAGTCTGAAGATTCAGGAAGCCCACAATATCATTTAGGGAGCAGGAAAAGTAAAAAGAAACCCATGCTTAAATACATCATAGTGAAACAGCAGAACGCCAAATGCAAAGAGCAGATCTTAAAAATATCAGAAAGAAAAAGAGAGCTCATGGGATAGGAAAGAAAAAATTGATTGACAGCTGACTGATCAGCAGCAGCAACAGAAACCAGCAGATAGTTAAAATACTTGAAAGTGCTTAGAAAAAAATAATAGCCAGTCAAGAACAGTGTATCCAGCAAAAGTAGCATTCAAGAATGAGGAAGAGGGCATTATCAGGGACCCACTAGAGCAAACTTTAAAAAAAAAAAAGTTAATGCAACAATGGTTTTCAAAGACACTGGACATCAGAAAACAAAGGACAGTGGTCACTGAGAGACAGGAAACAATCGTGAGCCCTATAATTGCCCAGCTTACTACCTAGAGAGTTTGCTGGATGTGTCAGGGGAAGAAGGAACCCAGGCAAAACCCAGGGGTCTCCCTGAGTTGAGAAAACAGAGCCAGGAACCTAGGGAGGTCAAGGGGCTTAAGTTCTCAGGGAAGAATATGAAAGAGGAGAGAACTGTACAGAGACTGAGCTCTGGAGATCCACAGGAGGTTCCCCTGGAGTCCTTAGCCAAGTACTCAGCCAAGGCATGTATATAAAGAAACTACCAGACAGGATCAGAACAGTGGTTTTTAACTGAGGGCCATTTTACTCCCTTTTGGTTCATCACAATTTGGGGGATGCTATTGCCACCTAATGCATAGAGGCCAGGGGTGCTCCTAAATATCTGATAGCACACAGGACAGTCTCCTCCCCCAATAAATAATTATCAAGCCCCCAAAATGTCAGGAGTTCCAACGTTGAGAAATAATCTCCAAAGCTTGCACAGGACAGCAATAACAGTTCCTGTTCCCAACAGTTAGAGGGGAAAACCTCAGAATTCACAGGGTATTGAGGAGAGCTAACAGAGGGGTACTGTGTCAATAGTAGGGAAGAATTTTCCCAAGATTAAACACTGCTAAGGTCTCACCTAACAAGGCTTAAAAGCAAGCCTTTGAAGGATCAAAATGTTTCCAAGTTACTTAATTGTATAACAGAGAAAAAGCTCAAGAATATAACTAAAAATACAAAAATACCCAACATCAAACAAAGTAAAATTCACAATGACTCACAGTCAATCAAAAATTACCAGGCACGCAAAGAAAGCTGAAAATACAACTCATAATGAAGAGAAATATAAAACAACAGAACTAAACCCTGAAATTACACAGATGATAGAAGTACATAGAACCAAAACCTAAAATTATACAGATACATCACAGACAGGGAAATTAAAACAGTTATTACTATAACTGTATTCCAAATGTTCCAGAAGCTAGAGAAAGACTGAACATGAGACTTGGAATATATAAAAAAAGATTCATATCAAATTTCTAGAGATAAAAAAGTACAACATATGAAATGAAAAAAAAAGGGCCGGCCCCGTGGCTTGGCGGTTAAGTGCGTGCTCTCCGCTGCCGGCGGCCCGGGTTCGGATCCCGGGTGCGCACCGAGGCACCACTCCTCCAGCCATGCTGAGGCCGCATCCCACATACAGCAACTAGAAGGATGTGCAGCTATGACAGACAACTATGTACTGGGGCTTTGGGGGAAAAATAAATAAATAAAATCTTTAAAAAAAAAAAAAAAAAAGAAATGAAAAAAAAAAGTACACTGAATTTAGATTAACACAGATTAGACACTACAGAAGAAAAAGTGAACTTGTAAACAAAGCAATATAAACTATTCAAAATGAAAATATATAGTGAAAAATTATGAACAGAACATTACTGAGCTATGGGACAACTTCAGTGGTCTAATATATATACATTATTGGCATCTCCAAAAAAAGGAGGGATGCTAAAAAATACCTGAAGAAATATGGCAGAAAATATTCCAAATTTGATGGAAAAAAAATAAGCCCAAATGTTCAAGAAGCTCAATGTATCCAAGCACAAGAAACATAAAAGTAACACCAAATTGCTTAAAACCAGTGAGAAAGTGAAAATCTCAAAATTATCCAGAGAAAAAGAGCACATTATACATAAAAGAAAAAAGATAAAAATGACAACACGTTTTCAGGAACAATGTAAGCCATGAGACAACAGAGCAACATCTTTAAAATACTCAAAGAAAAATAGTGTCAACCTAAAATTCTATATCCAGCAAAATTATCTGTTAGAAATGAAGGGATATTGAAGACTTTTTAAAGACATACAAAAGCTGAAAGAATTCATCACCAGCAAACCTGCAATACAAAAATGTCTTTCCGACAGAAGAGTGACAGCAGATGGGAATACTGATCTATACAGAGGAATGAAGAATATCAGAAATGTCCACCATCTGGGTATCTATGGGAACTATCTTGCACATAGTAAGAATAACTGAGGTTGCCAATGAATGTTTTTTTA